AACCTGGAATTGTATTTGAAAACACCCCAAAATAAAAAACAGACTTCAGAAACGTACTACAGGGGAAGAAAGAGTCCAAGAAGAATTCTATACAAATGTAAAACAATACTGAAAAAATTTTCCCGAAATCCACCTCTTTCTTGCCTGATTGGAACTATTTCATGTTGTCTTTCAAGCTCTACTGATGGAATGTATTTTACCCTCATTGAAAAGCAAACACATACCTAAGTCGGTAAGTCTTTCCAGGTGACAGACACAGGGAGGGGCTGTGCTCACGGGACAAGACACCCAGGAAAGTTTCCGAAGAGGATCCTCCACCCACAGGACTTGCCCTGCGCGTCTGTGCCCAGGGGACATCCTGAGGGAGGGGAGCGGGGATTTCATTCAACGACTCCAGGTGGCCATTCTCGGCCTTCCTCTCATGTAAAATACGCACAGAGAAAAAAAATAAATACATCTTTAAAAAGAGCAATCCATGGCCCTGGGGAAAAACGATAAATAGTTGGTAATGATGCTGTAAACGGGTCAGACCAAGTTGGCCTCCAGGACCGGGAGGAAGGAACCGGAAATTCAGGAACTTATGGGTCGTGGTAGCGGGTAGGGGGGTAGGGGGTAGGGAGTGGGAGGTAGGGGGTGGGGGACCCGGGAGAGACCGGGTCCTGGATTGGAGACCCTGCTTCCCAGGCATCGGGAAAACCGAGGAGAAAGCGGGTCCCCCTGAGGAGAAAGGAGGGACTGGAGACCCTACAGACCTCAGCGCCTCCTCTGCACAAACCCCGCAGCCGAGTCACGGTTTCCCCCGGTGACCCTCCACCTCCCCGTGGTCCCCGCACCATCTGGGGAGACGCCGCGGGGCTGCGGGCGCAGAGCTGCCGAGAGTCTCCGGGCCGCACTCGCCGCGCCTGTGACGGGACCGGACAGGACACCGGGGTCCCGGCTGCCCGCCCAGCCCCGCGCTGCGAGCCCGGGAGGACCGCGGTCCCAGCCGAACCCGGGGAACTCGGGTCCGCAGACTCTGGACTTGACCGCGGAGGCCAGGTCTGGTAACAGCCGGTTCCAAGCAGACCCCGTCCCTGTCCCGGACCCCGGGTCCCACGCTCACCTCCTCCCGGCGTGGGGGGTCCCCGGGCGCCATCCCTGAGGCTCCGTGCAGGTCCAGGTGGGCGGGGCTGATGCTGGGGCGGAGACACTGGGACCGTTACCCGCAGGTGGGACGTGACCCCCAGCGTGACCCGGAGCACCGCCGGGAGCGTCCACGCGGTTTTAGGAGCGTGCCTGCCGCTGCGCCCTGATTGGACAGCTCGCAAGGACCCGCCCCCCGTTTCCTGAGTGACAACCGGGAGGAGGTCAGTGGATTGAGCGGGAGTAGCTTTTGCGGGTGGGCGGGAACTGTCCCCTCGAGAGGCAGTTGAGTTTTTATTTTATTTTTTAGGAACGTTTGCTTTTAAATAAAACCTGTTCTTGGCTCTAGAGGGGCTGTGCTGTCTTCCTGAACGCGGGACACAGGTGTGCACAGGGGATTGCCAGACGGAATGGTGCCCACGTCCCGAGCAAGAGGGGCATCTGGGCGAGACCAAGCCCCTGGGTCCAGAGGGTCAAAAGGCCTCACTGGGTCAGGGGTTGACATAGGCTGGGAGGCCATCCATCTGACGGTGATCCTTGTTTACAAACCTATTTAAAAATGACCTCACCATCTCTCTATATAAAAGCCTAAGCCACTGAAATGACCCAGCAGGTCGCTATGATGCGCACTGACCACCAGAGGGCAGACGCTCAATGCAGGAGCTGCCCCCTGGTGGTCAGTGCGCTTCCATAGCGGCAGCGTGAGTGGTCAGTGGCAGTGCCAGGCCAAAGCTCAAGCTCCTCATGGGCCACCTGCTACTTCGTGCCCTACTACATCCCCCAGGGGTCCTGGATTGCGAGAGGGCACAGGCCAGGCTGAGGGACCCCAACAGTGCACGAATCCGAGCACTGGGCCTCTAGTATGCAATAAAGATTCTGGCTCCATTTTGATCCTTGCTGTCAGCGCTGAGGCTTCTACCAGTCCCTTCTTCACCTCCACACATGTGGTATTTTAGCAAATGAGTCTCATGGCCGCCCAAGGTCTTGATTCTGCTGGGAAGCTGGAACCTCGAAGCCCAGGCCCCGACTAACCATAAATTGTAAGATGTGTTCAGTAAAACTCTCAGGTGTACATTTTACAATACAGGGAAATTTATTTAATGGCTTTTTTTTTAAACATATATTTTTTTAAATTGATTTCAGAGAGGAAGAGAGAGGGAGAGAGAGATAGAAACATCAATGATGAGAGAGAATCATTGATCGCCCTGACAGGGAATGGAATCATGACCTCCTGGTTCAGAGTTATACCTCAACTACTGAGCATTGCAGGCCGGGAAATTTAAATGGTTTTTGAGTGTGTGCCCAGAGATTTTGAAACATAAACAGCTATGGCATCCCTAAGGCAATTGAATTCCTATTATCACCAATATAAGAAAAAACAACAAAGGTTCTGGAAATGTGGGAGGTACCTGGAAACTCAATATATTTAACACATTGATTCAAAACTCTGAATACATTTATTTATTTGAAAGCTTTATTGAGATAGAATACACATATTTTACAATGCATCCCTTTAATAGGTACAATTTGTTGGGTTTTAATATATCCACAGATACGTGCAATAAGCACCACAACCTTTGAAAACAATTTTTTTGTCACCTCAAAACCAAACCCCTGTGTGCTTAAGCTATCATTTCTCTATCTTCCCATCTTCTAACTCCGAGCCACAGTTCTAGGCAACCTCTAAGTTTACTGTCCATAGGTTTCCTTTTCTAGATTTACATATGAATATCTTTGCAACTGATTTCAATCACTTAGCATAATTTTTTAAGGAACATTCATGTTGTAATATGTATGGATACTTTATTTGTTTTTATGGCCAAATAATGTGGACTTATATGGATAAAACATATTTTGTTTATCTATTTATCCCTAATAAATATTTGGTTTATTTCTACCTTTTGGCTATTATGATATTGCAATAAACTGTCAAGTACAAGATTTGTTTGGATGTATATTTTCATTTCTCAGAGGCATATACCTAGGAATGAAATGATGGGTGCAATGGTAATTCTAGGTTTAATTTTTGAGAAACTGCCACAGTTTTCTCTTTCTTTTTTTAAAAAAATATTGGAGCATCTTTAATGTGCCAGGTACAGATTCAGGTGCTAGGGATACAGTGATGAAAAAGACAAAGTTGCGGTCCATAAGGATCTTCAACTCTTGCATCCCTGGAATAAAGCTGCCATACTGTTTTCTAATGTAGCTGCACAATTCTGTATTCCCATCAGCAGTGGATGAGGGTTCTGACTTTTTCATGTCCTTGACAAAACTTATTTCACTTTTTTATTCTAGCCATCCTAGTGGTTGTGACATGGTATCCCACTAGGGTTTTGATTTAAATGTCCTTGAGGACTAATGGTGTCCAGCATCTTTTCATGTGCTCTTGGCCATTTATATATCTTCCTTGGGAAAATGTCTATTTGCATCCTTTAATGTTTTATAATTTGGTTATTTTTTAAAAATTGAGTTGTAAGAGTTACATATTTTTGATACAAATCCCTATCAGATATATGATTTGCAATTTTTTCTCCCACTCAGTGAATTGTTTTCACCCTCTTGCTTTATAAATTTTACTTTTAATTGTGGTAATATACACATAGTATAAAATTTACATCTTAAAAATGTTGTTTTGTTAATTCTCACCTGAGGATGTTTTCTTCATTGCTTTTCAGAGAGTGGAAAGGAGAAATGCAGGGAGGTGGAGGGGGAGAGAGAGAGAAATATCACTGTGTCTCATATGGATTGTTTGCCTCCTGCACGTGTCCTGACTGAGGCCAGGGATTGAACCTGTAACCCAGGTAAGTGCTCTTGACAGGGAATAGAACCCTCAACTCTTTGGTGTGTGGGCCTATGCTCTAACCACTGAAAAACACTGGCCAGGGCTAAAATTTACATGATAGGTGTACAATGCAGTAGTGAGCAGTACACTGACATTGGGAAACTGATGTCAGAATTTTATTCATCTTTGAAAAAATTTTAAAGCCCTGGCCAGTTTGGCTCAGAGGATAGAGCTTCAGCCTGAGGACTGAAGGGTCCTGGGTTCAGTTCTGGTAAAGGGCATGTACCTCGGTTGCAGGCTCAATCCCTGGCCCTGGTTGGGGTGCATGAGGTAGGCAACCAATCCCATGTGTCTCTCTCACATTGATGTTTCTCTCCCTGTCTCTCCCCCTCCCTTCTACTCTCTTTAAAAATCAATGATAAAAATATGCTCAGGTGAAGAATAACCAAAAAAATTTTCAGTTACAGTTGACATACAATATTATATTAGATTCATGTGTACAACATAGTGATAAGACATTTATATAACTTGCAAAGTGCGCATCCCGATAGGTCTAATACCCATCTGACACCATACATAGTTATTATAATATTATTGACTACATTCCTTATGCTGTGTTTTATATCCTGTGACTATATTTGTAACTGGCAATTTGTTCTTAATCCCTTCACCTTTTCCACCAATTCTCGCAAACCCCCCCATCTGGCAACCATGAATTTGTTCTCTGTATCTATGAGTTTGTTTGTTCATTTATTTTGTGTTTTAGATTCCACATATAAATGAAATCATATGGTATTTGTCTTTCTCTGACTTATTTCACTTAACATAGCACCCTCTAGGGCCATCAATGTTGCCACGAACGGCAATATTTCATTCTTTTTTATGGCTGAGGTTAATTTCTATCAAGCTTTCTTACGTTACTTACATTTCTATTTGTCTTCCATGGGAGTTTTCACATGTTAAGAATTTGGATCAATTAAAATGTTTCCCATTGTGTTTACATTCAAGGAGTTTTAATCAGTGAGTCATTTTATGCTTTTGATAGGAACTGGGATAATGGAAACCTTCCCCACATTCTTCACTTTTATATGGTTTTCTAAAGGTTATGATCAATGAAGGCTTTTCTGTATCTCTTACATTCATGGGGCTTCTCTCCAGTGTGAGTTCTTTTGCATGTTTTGAAGGAACTGTGATCTCTGTAGGCTTTAGCACATTGTTTACATTCAAAGGGTTTCTCTCCAGTGAGATTTCTTTCATGTTTTCAAAGATAACTAAGACAACTGAATGCTTTACTACATTTTAAAAATACATATGCTCTCTCTCCAGGGTTCCTATCATGGGTTTAAAAACTTGTTAATATCTGAATGATTTTCCAAATTACTTACATTCACAGGGTTTTTCTCTAGACTGAGTCCTTTTGTACCTTTCTGAAAGGTACTGTTATGTCTGCAGACTTTCCCATGCTCCTCGTACTCACAAGGTTTCTCTCCAGTTCTTTCACATGTTTTTAAGGGACGGTAGGCTTTAACTTCATTGTTAACATTCATAGGGTTTTCGCCCGTGAGTTTTTTCATGTATTCCAAGACCAATGGAACACCTGAACGTCACCACACATCTTACATTCATAGTGTCTCTGCAGTGTAGTTCCTTTATGCATCTGGAAATCCTCATGAAAACGGAAGGCTTCCCCACACTGTTTATATTCATAGGGTTTCTCTCCAGTATGTGTTCTCTCATGTTTTTGGAGATAACTGTGATCTCTGAAAGCTTTACCACATTGCTTACATTCACAAGGTTTCTCTCCTGTGTGAGATTTTTTGTGTATGTGCAAGGAACTATAAAATTTGAAGACTTTATCACATTGTTTGCATTCATAGGGTTTCTCTCCAGTATGTGTCCTTTTATGCTTTTGAAGAGAAGTGGGATACGTGAATGCTTTGCTACAGATTTTACACTTATAGGGTTTCTCTCCAGTGTGAATTCTTTCATGTATTTGAACATAACTGGAAGAGCTGAAGGCTTTAACGCATGTTTTACACTCATAGGGTTTTTCTCCAGTGTGAGTTCTTCCATGCACTTGAACTTGACTGGAAGAACTAAAGGCTTTACCACATACTTTACATTCATAGGGCTTCTCTCCAGTATGTGTCCTTTTATGTTTTTGAAGAGAACTGGGATACGTGAATGCTTTGCTACAGAATTTACATTCATAGGGTTTCTCTCTGGTATGAATTCTTTTGTGGGTTTTTAAGGAACTGGGATCTCTGTAGGCTTTGCCACATTGTTTACACTCATAGGGTTTCTCTCCAGTATGAGTTCTTTCATGTGCTTGAACATGACTAAAGCAATTTAAGGTTTGACCACATATTTTACATACATAGGGCTTCTCTCCTGTATGAATCCTTTAGTGTCTCAGTAAGAAACTGTAAGATGTGTAGGCTTTACCACAGTGTTTACACACATAGGGGTTGTCTCCAGGGACCGTTATTCCATGTAATTGAAGTGAACATGGACAACTAAAGGCTTTCCCACATTCCTTATGTTTATAGGTTTTCTCTACACTGTGATTTATTTCATGTTTTTCAAAATACTGGAGATAACTGAAGGCTTTACCACATTCTTTGAACTTATAAGGCTTCTCTCCATATTTTTGAAATTTATATGCTTTGTGTCTAGTGTGATATCTGCTGTGCCTGTTAAAGGATGAATGATGCATGAAGACTTTTCCACACACACTGCATTCACATGGTTTCACTTCAGTGGTTTTGTTGTTCAGACTGAAATTTGAAATAATGCTGAAGTTTTCTCCACATTGACTACTCTCTTTACTTCCACAGACTTTCTCTACCATTTGACTTCTGTAAACAATGAAAAGTACAGTATTAATGATTATTATTATTTTTGATTAATCCTCACTAGGGGCAGGGAGCGAACCTGAAACCCAAGTATGTGGCCTTGACCAGGAATCAAAGCCATGGCCCTTTGGTGCATGGGCCCACACTCTAACCACTAAGCAACACTGGCCAGGGCAATGATTCTTCATTAATGATTTTATATTAATTATATTTATTATGATTTATAGGAAAAGTATAGGTATTCTGTGTTATCTGAAATTAAAAATACTGAGAGTTTTCTAAGAAGACTTCACCCTTGCTATTATCAAACTGTGATATATATGCATATATACAGCTTATTAATACGGTTTCCAAGTGAATTATTTTGCAAACAATGAACATATATGGTACATTTGAGAAAGTATTTTTGGTACAAATTTTCTAAGAAGACATTTAAAGCAGAGTTTATTAGTTTTGTTTGCTTCTTTAAAAAATTTCATAACATACTAGAATTCTGCTTTCTATTGTCCAACTCACCTTAGTTTTCTCCCCTGGTTTTTGTAGTGATTTTCAATGTCATGTTATTCCCATGTTTTTCCTAAAATTCAGACCCAGAAAATGAGTCCAAAGAATTCATATTATAGAAATGAAAAAAAAAGCTGGAGTAGCAATACTTATATCTGACAAAATAGATCTCAAAGTGAAGACCATAACAAGAGACAAGGAAGGCCATTTCATAATTCTAAAGGGATCAATACAACTTGAGGATATAACTCTGGTAAACATTTATGCACCCAATGCAGTACCACCCAAATACGTAAAAAAACTTCTGGAAGATATCAGGGAAGAGAGTGACAGCAACACAATCATAGTAGGAGGGTTTAATACCCCATCAACATCACTGGATAAATCCTCTACACAAAAAAATTAGCAAAGAAACCTCAATCCTAAACGACTCACTAGATCAGATGGACTTAATCGACATTCAGAACATTCCACCCCAAAACTACAGAATGTACATTCATTCTTCTCAAGTGCACATGGGACATTTTGAAAGATAGACCACAAATTGAGACACAGGCAAAGTCACTCCAAATTCAAGAGTATTGAAATCATATCAAGCATCTTCTCAGATCACAATGGCATAAAATCAGAAGTCAACTACAGTGAAAAAAATCTAAAAAATCTAACATTTGGAGGCTGAATAGCATACTATTAAACAATGAGTGGGTTACCAAAGAGATCAAAGAAGAAATAAAAAACATTCTGGAAACAAATGACAATAAAATCACAACAATCCAAAATCTTTGGCACACAGTGAAAGCATTCCTGAGAGGGAAGTTCATAGCATTACAGGCCTACCTCAAAAAACAAGAAAAAATGGTAATAAACCATCTAACTCTGCAACTTGAAGAACTAGAAAGAGAGCAACAAGAAAAGCCCAGTGTGAGCAGAAGGAAGGAAATAATAAAGACCAGAGTGAAAAGAAATGACATAGAGACCAAAAACAAACAAAACAAAACAAAAAACAAATAATACAAAAGATCTATGAAACCAAGAGCAGGTTCTGTGAAAGCATAAACAAGATTGATGAACCTCTAGCCAGACTCATCAAGAAGCAAAGAGAGAGGACCCAAATGAAAAAAAGAAGTTAAATAACAACAGATCCCACAGAAATACGAAGAATCATAAAAAAATATTATGAGCAACTCTACTCCAACAAATTGGTCAACCTAGAAGAAATGGACATATTCCTAGAAAAATACAACCTTACAAAACTCAACCAGAAGGAATAAAAAAAATCTGAATAGGCCGATAATTATGGAGGAAATTGAAGCAGTAATCAAAAAACTTCCAGAGACACAGAAGCATGGAACAGACTGTCAAATCTCAGAGAGAAGGCAGAGGTCAATGGGTAAAAGGAAGGAGATTAACCAAAGACCTTGTATGCATATATGCAAAACCCATGTGTTTTGCATAAACAAATCATCATTCCTGTCAAAGAACAGTTTAGACAGCTGCCATTTTGGACGGTGTGTCTTGGCAGCCACCGTGTTGGCAACCTGGCAAGCAGCTCCCCTGGGGCCGCCATCTTGAAACAGCAAAGACCAACCCCTCCCTTTCAATTAGTCAATCACGAAAGACTGTGCACCTGAGCTCTAATCAAGAGCAAGGGACAGGTCACCTGCCTCAGGGATTATAAACCAAAGCAGCCATCTGCTCGGTGTGCGTGCGCTTCCAGACAATGTGTGCACACCCTTCTATGTAGAAGGAAAGATGTTCGCCTGGCTGCCTGACTCCCATGTATGTTTTGTGTTCTACCAGGACCCCTGACTTTGGGAGCTCGCCTTATTTCTAACACATGGACCTACACAATAGTGTGGTGAATGCCTAGGGCAGAGGGCAAGTGGAACTGAGACAGGGTTCAAAGGGGGAAAAAGGGGCCATCTGTAATACTGTCAACAATGAAGATTTTAAAAAGAATTTTAAAAGCATATTACAAACCAATATTAAGAATAAAGTATGAAATTTGCTGAATTAAAAGAGTCATGTAAAAATTAAGAATGCATACTGCCTGGGTCTGTGTCTGTATAATTCCAACAAAGTCCACAAAAGCTTTCATTGCTTTGTTATATAACTGTAAACAATGAATCACCCTGAGCCTCTTTACCTTATTTGTGATGGTAGTGGGGTAATAAACCTAATTCAGATGAATGTTGTTAGAAATACATGAAATGTTGGAAGTACCTGTTAAGTCCATGAACTCTCTTACAAGTAAGAACTATATCTATGTGTATACATGGGTGCATTTGTAGATGATTAAAATAAGCTCACTCACACACATATATACAAAGACATTAATAATCTCATATTTTACGTTGAAAGAAAATTTGTGAGAAATTTGGGTAGGATAGAAATTAAAAGAATAAATGGTTGAAGTGAAATAAAGGAATGTAGAAATTCAGGCACAAAGACACTATAGGGAATTCACTGTACCAGCTAATGGGGCATAATTTCCAAATTGACTTTAGATATTTTACTTCCACTGAAATTTAGATTTTAACACAAAATATCCTTATCCAAGGGAAGGTAAGTGAATTAATTGGGAAGCTAATATTTCGTTTCCTCCAGAAAAAAAAAGCTTTGCCCCACCAGCGTGGCTCAGTGGTTGAGCGTGGACCTATTGAAACAGGTATTTGGGGGATAAAATAGGACAGGTTTAGAAAATATTAGGAAATTAGGGGCACCATGGAGACAGCAGAAGGTATATTTCCATAGAACGGGGGAGCTGGAAAGCTACAACAAGCACATTTCCATAGAATGAGGAGCTGGGAAGAGCAAAAGGTCTATATTTACAAAACAAAGAGAAGGAAGCCCTTTATTCAGAAGGAAAAGAAGAAAGCCCAAGGTGAATAGGAAAACAATAGGGAAGGAGGGGGCGGGGAAGAACCTCACATGTCCCATGTGAGACTCAACCTTTGAGTCCAGGAGTTACTATAGTAACCAGTCTAAGGGGATAGTGATGACCAATCAGAGGGGATATCAAGGCACCAGGATCTGCAGCCTTTATACGCCATAGGGAAAAGGAACTCAGTGGGACCCTTTCCCTCTCCCTACATGGGAGTCCATTCTGAAGGACTCTTTCCCTCTTCCCATGTGGGAGTCTATACGTATTCTTCAATAAATTTGCACCTTTGCTATACCACTTTCTGTCTGTGGATTCATTCTTCCATTCCAGCAGACAAACAATCCGGTTACAGTCCAAAAATTCCGAATCACTATGAACCAGGAGGTCAAGCTTCAATTCCCGATCAGGGCACATGCCCGGGTTGAAGGCTCGATCCCCAGTGTGGAGGATGCATGAGGCAGCCAATCAATGATTCTCTCTCATCATTGATGATTCTATCTCTCTCTCCCTCTCCTTTCTGAAATCAATAAAAATATATTTTTTACAAAATAAAAAGTTTGGATAAATGTCTGTGTTACATTCCTGTGGCTGTTGAACTGAACTCGGTGGCATAAAAGCAACACATTTATGCTCTTATTGTTTTGGAGGTCAGAAGTCTGAAACTAGTCTCAATGGACTAAAATCAGGTTGTCTGCAGGGCCAGTTCCCTCTGCAGGCTCCAGGAGAGAATCTGTTTCCTCTTCTTTCCCAGGTTCTCAAGGCCACAAGCATTCCTTGGCTCATGGCCCCTTCTCCATCTCCACAGACAGCAGTGCAGACCATCTCCAAAAATCCCTCTGATTCCAACCATTTTTCCTTTTTCTTCTGCATTCTAGGACCGTGGTGATTACATTAGTCCCATCTGCATAATTATGTTCCAACTTCTAATCTAAAAGGGAGATCATTGTACTATTGTTGTTCTCTCTGCAGGGATTAAATGTGGACATTAAAGACATAAACATTTTGTAAAAGTCAGCTGATTAGCAAAATATTCCATCTACTACCTTAATGCCCGCCCTTTAGTATAAAAATAATATATTCAGTTTCTGGGATTGGGTGCAGGCATCTTTTGGAGGCTCCTATTTATCTGCTACACAGTATTTTTCAAAAATACATTATTGGATATCATGGCTTCTGTAAGGTCTGGAGCTGGGAAAGTAGGGTCTTTCCTGATCCCACCAGCTGAGTTGGACAAAACAACCCAGAACTGCCGAGCCACATCCTGCTGGACAATAGCTGCCATCCTGGGACCCACCAGAGCATCCTGTTGTGCTGATGGCAAATAAATAACCACCGGAGACTTCTCAAGATGGCCAGGGTGCAGCTGCACCAACTTCCCGCTCATCAATCATCCGCCACAAGCTACCTCAGATAAACCTGATTGGTCCAACAGCAGCATAAAAAATCTCTGCCAGGCATAGGCAGTTGTGACTCCCCCGGCCTGCACCCCCAGACCGTGGGACCTCACCCGAGAGTTTCCAATAAACGCGATATTTCGCTCTTACCCTGCTTGTCTTGGTCATTTTATTGGCTTTGGTCAGATTAAATCTTACATCTCAGATTAAACCT